AGACTAAAAGTGAGGCCAACCAATTTTAAAATAGTAGTGAGTTTTCAACTCCATTCTTATTTAATCGAGTGGTCTTGAATAGCTTCTTGAAATCATAGTTTGTCGAAGAAAGATTTAACTTCCGCCGAACCTTAGCAATGTCTGGTATATGACATGTAGAGATATCGCCCATATGTCTATATTGTCAATATCAGTCATTTCTATAAATGAATCATAAAAAAGTAATACTTTTCACATGCATTAAACCTGAAAGAACATATTTGATGTATTCATGTGACGCATACTATCAAATCTCAAGTGTATTCATGAAATCCTAGACTAATACAAGAAGTTGCATGATAGTACAAGGTAAGAATTGTAGCTTCTGCAGGGTAATCCATATAGTTCTGATAGTTCAAATATGGTTGTGTGAAACGCTAAAATCACAATGCTGTACATGATACTTCTACATGTCAACAGTATCCTTCAGACAATGTTCTATGAACATAGAAAGAGTATTTTCTTAGAGAGCATTTATTGATAAGAATTATATAGAAAGTTGTTTACAAGTTCCAAACAAAAATGCAGAGACATTTTATGGCTCTTGCTAAGAGAAGAAAAGCAAAACGCCTTCATGTTAATTCTTACAGTCACTAGATCTAATTTTATTTCAAGAAGAGAAAAGATTTTATGTGATATATGGACATCTGTTACTGACGAATCCATCTGTTCTGAAGCATATAAATAAATAATTTTTTCTAGAGTAATATACCATGGTTGACTATTTGTATTGAAAATAACATACGAAGAACTGAAATAGTTTTGTGGAAAATGTGTTCGAAGAAGACTATTTCACTTTTCAAAACGTTCTATTTTAACCAGATGGAAGACTCCGTATATAAAGCTATTCTTTGTAGATTTCGAAAAGAATCATAGAATATGACTTTTGTTAAAATACTGATACTCTTGATTTCTCTAGCAGAACTATGCTATATATTTATGAGACTACGAAATTTAGATTGTTTTTCATCTTAGTACTTATTACAATTTTGACTTAGATGTTCATCATCAGCTATGATGGCGTAAAAATTCTATAGTGTTATACTATTATCTTCAATTGATCATATATTAAGCAGATGAAATTGATAACAAGATGTAGCCTATGACAAACGTTCGCTTACGAGATTCTACTGGGTTTTTAAACACTTAGTTTTGCTTAATGACTACTTCTCCAGCAAGAAAGGATGTCATAAATAAACCTAAAGCTTTTGACTATGTCCACCAGAGTTTCATGCGAGGTGCGGCATTTATCCTTCATTCTTACTAACAGTTTTGCTGCCCAGAGCTATTTGCACTCACAAGGAAAAATCATCGTTGTTTTTCGCCCCTCTTCACTTGATCATAACGCGTGGCTGCCTGCTACAAAGCTTTCCCCCTTTATTGTTACGCATTTTAATACGCTCAGGTAACCAAGACCGCAAAATACTATGTGTTAACAAACTATGAACTTATTAAGACGAGTAGTATTGTTTTAAATAGATGCATTTTTGTCAGTTTTACTCAGCGTTTTATAAGTTTTAAGGTTTGCAAAATGTTGAGAGCGTTACAGTCCTAAAAAGTCAATTAGAAAAATACATTTTTTTCAAGCTATCGATTGTAAATGACTTATGACAAGCATGAAAACTATTTTGGGAGATGGCCATACTGTAATAGAGTGATATGATTATCGAAACAAAATTCCTAACATATGTTCTGCCAGTAGATGAAAAAGTTTCACATAGTATGAATATTTAATTTGAAGTCTGTATAAAGATATATACTGATCATCTGTCGATTTTATAATTGACTTTGTTCAACCAATCTTTTAGTTATCTTTCTTCTTAGCTAATTACTATGTTTTCTATATGTCTTCATGTAACATAGACTTAAATAATAAAGAAAATGTACAACTAATATGAAGACACATTTCTTTCTGTTTCTAATTTCATTTTACACGGGATGATGTTAATAAACGACTACTTTTTGTTGATTATCACTTTCGAAGTTTCGTTGAAGTAGGCTCAAAAATTATAAGATACACTGGTGAAGTTAGTAGAAGAGAAACAGAAAAAAACCATACACCCTAAGTACGAACTTTGAATAGATCTAAAATTATTCAACACATAGAGTAGTTTATCTTTGGATATTTTTGAATCCCTAATATCGTCGTCAGAAATCCATAGCTGAAACCTGAAAAATCAATTTTGATGAATCCATAAATTTTAAACAGCTTAACGCTTCTAGGTTTTCGTTTTCGTCTCGATTTTTAACAAGTAAATTTTTCTCAGTTCTTCTTATCTTCTACTGATTTCTTCTCATGTTTCCGTACTTTTTTTTCATTAAAACCTATTCACTTCGTAAGTTATTTCCTGTACATTCTTCCTACGTTGCTAGATGTTCGATATTTGAAATTAAGCAATCTGTTGAAAGAACAATTGATAATTCTATACTTCAAGGTTTCTTGAGATATTGTTATGATCACTTAGTAATTGTTCTAGTTTCACTTCAATCTTGTAGCTTTGTCACGTAGATTGAACTTACTCATCTATTTTTTATCCAAAACAATCCAAAAAATTTATTCATCGATCAACTGTGAAAAATTATATGGATATGAAAGCATTATAATTGTATAGTTTAGAACAGATCAGTAG